GGGAACTTGTGTACAGCCGGAGCTCCAGGCCAGCCAGAGCCGGGCGCCAATACCCCCCTTTGATTTGTTCAATGAAAATGCTTTGCCGATTCCATAGATGCTCGGCTGTGATAAGGTAATTGTGCAAGGGCGCAGTCTACAGCCCGTTAACACTGGACTCGGCGCAAATTGAACTTGGTGTGGTGATCTAAAGGGGCCAGAGAAGGCAGCCCAGCGCCATCCATCGGACACTTGGTCTTTTGTTCAGGCAGCTGGGAGCTTGGGAGGAGTCTTCCCCAGGAAACGGAGATTCCGCTTGCACACGCACCCCCACCTCCTTCTACCTGCAGGTACGCACGTGCACTCCTGGGTGCACACCTGCAAACACGCACACGTCCATGTACAGGCACACTCACGTGCTCTCCTACGCTCTGACACAGGTACACACACGCTCTCAGCCTCCCATATGGCTCCATGCACCCTCACGGGCTCGGTCACCTCTGCCCCCAATCCATCCCCTTTGGGCTACCGGAATGGAAGAAACTTCTCATTCCCACACCAGGAGTGAAGAGGAGACAGGGACTGCCGGGCAGAGGGGAAGGTTTATAGAGATATTAGGGAACACACTGTAGGGGAAGGTTTCTAGAGATATTAGGGGACACACTGTAGAGATAACCTTGATTGCATTTCTGGAAGCCAGTGGAAAGCAGTTAGCAGGAGCCCAGAGGAGCAAGAGGAGGAGGAAGAAGAAGAGGAAGAAGATGAGGCAAAGAGAAGAGGAGGAGAGGGGAGGGGAGGAGGGTGGAGGAAGGCCAGGAAGAAGGGCAGAAAGAGGCTCACCCAGATCCTATGAAGAGGTGGGCCTGGGAGAAGCCTATTACTATTATTGTTGTTATTTACCTTGGGAACTGGACTCCAACATGTACTATTTTGGTACTGTTCTATTTTTCTGGGGCAAAGGAAAATGTCAAGCCAGAAAATGTCCCAGTTTCCCTCCCATTCCTATTCTGGTTTGGACAGATATTTCAAGGTCGCTCTTCCAAGAGTGGGACTTCTTGCGAGAGAAATCATAATAGAAGATTGCAGGAGTGGGGGAAAGGTATTCTTTTTCAAGGGTGCCCCTTCATAGGCGGCACTGAGGAATTCCAGCTTCCGGAACCCGAGGGAGCCTCCAGAAGGTCTTTTGTTCATGGATATTCCATTTCTCTCCCTACCCCTACGCCCACCCCCTCCTCTCTCATTACCAAACATTTGAAGACTGAATAATTCCATTTGTTGACATCTTTGGCCAGAGCCTCTGAAAACGCAAAAGGCCCGCCGAAATCAAAACCCCTGGTTTTCAAGGTGGATTTATCACCCTTTAAAGGGAGATTCATTGGGTAATCGCTTTCAGAAAGTGCTCATTGCACAGGGATCTAAAATAAAAAGAGCGTCCTCTCCCTTGGCCTGGGGTAACAGGCCACTGGCCACTGGGGGCAGGGACAAGGAAGCCCCAGTTGTGGCCCTCAGTCTCTTACCCGTTGGACCCATCAATTCACAGTCTGGGGCGGGAGCAGCCAGAGAAAGGCCAGCTTCCCCAGCTGATGTCAACCTGGCTTCTTGCTCCTGATCCTTGGGCGTAGGTCTCTCTTTCCCATTGGGAAGGCTCATTTGGGGAACTTGGGAGGAGGAATTCCTAGGAACATTGTTGTTGCCCTTAAAAGGAAGTGTGGCAGGCAGGAGGTGGGGGACAGACAAGGAACTCAGATGGGACAGGGAGAGGTGGAGGTAGGGATCAGTTACCCAAGCCAGAGAGAGGGAATACAAGAGTACTTTCTAGAGGGAGGGGGTGCTAGAATCAGGTGGGCTGGGCCTGGAGATGTTCCTTTAGAGATAGCCCCAAGTAGATGCAAAGCAGAGGAGCGACCCTTCTGGAAAGTCTTTGCCCAACCCCATCTGGACCAAAGAAAGGGCTTTCCCAGGAAACAGGTCTGAGGTATAGCCTGGTGCGTGCGATGGAAGTCCCTACATACTTCAGGACACCATGGAGGTAGGAGGTGGTGGCCACGATGAACAGATTGAGAGAGGAAAACACTGAGGAGAAGTCAGAAAGGCAAGGAGTCAAAGGGGGTGGGGACAAAAAAGAGATGGAGGGGCCCACGAGACAGAAAAGTGTGTGTGTGTGTGTGTGTGTATGCATGCGTGCATGCACATAAGACACAGAGACAGAGAGAGACACACAGACCAAGACGGAGAGAGAAGAGGGAGGGAGGAAGAAGCAGGGAGAGAGACAGAGATTAGGGTGAGGGGCTGAAGGGAAACTTTCCAGGCCAAGTCCAGCCTAACACACACAATGCAGACCTGAGCCCTTCAGTGCTTACAGTAGCAGCTGGAGGTCTTAGGAGTTGATGAATGTCTGTGTGGGGAGTGAATTTGGGCAAGGGGGTTAGCCATGAGGAGCTGAGAGGAGAGGGAAAGATTTTTTTCCCCACCTCCAGCTGCAGCCGCCCCAGTTCCCAGGTGAACCCCCCTTTCCCTCACTGGATGTGAAATTGCCATTTCACCCCGCCACACTTCTTAATTGTTGCAAAAATCATTTGTGAAATTGGTCTCCAACAGGCGAGAACGGCCACGCTCATTCCGACAGACACCCCCCTTCCTCCCCCTCCGTCTGCCCCGCGGGAGCCCACGGAATCCCCAAGCTGCAAAAACTCAGGGTTGGTGCCTCCAGCAGAGAGTTTAGGGGAACCTGCTCGGGGCCTCCCTGGCAACTGGACCCTCTGCTGGGCCCTCTGCAGGGCACGGTGGGAACCAGGCGACAGGTTAGGTGGAGCCCCGCGAGAGATGCCTGGGGCTCAATGTCCCCAGCCTCAGCCAACTGGGGGGCCCTGAACCGAGGGGTGGGGCTGAGCTCTCCCCAGTCAGCGAGGAGAGACTGAAGGCTCCAGGGTCCACGCTGGCGCACCCCAGAGGTCTTTCCTGGCCCCAGGAACTGACCGAAACAAACATTTACACCTTCCTGACTGCGCTGAGCCAAGGCAGCATGGAAGCGACCCCAAAACATAAGCACAGACCCTCCCTTAGAAACACAGAGCTACTCAGACGGCCTACAGGAGACCTACACACAAACCCACCTTCACCCAGGCACAGGCAAAGACGCTCCGGGGTCCACCCACAAATACAGAGAATCTGTGCCTTAAATCCCTCCAAGCCAGGACGGAAAATACTGATGAATGAATGAGTGAGTGAGTGTATATTTTGTAATATATACGTGTATATGTGTGTGTGTGTGTGTGTGTGTGTATTGTGTGCCTATCTGTGTTTATCTGTAATATATATACATATATATATAATACATAGCCACCTCTGGAAGTCAAGGCAGGCCAGACCCTCCAGCAAGACAAGAAGTAAAGGGCCCCAAATCTAATTCATTTTCCCCAGATACACACACTGTGGCTTCAAACTGCATCTCCCTGTCCCTCTCTCAGGGGCTGTGGGTATGGTGGGGTACACCTCCAATGAAGAAAGGGGCCCAGAAAACCTTGTAGGGCCCCTATAACTCAGGCAGCCTGGCACCCTGACCTGGGCAAGGCACCCTGGTGTCCCCCTTTCCAATTCCAAAGCGACTTGGACCCCCCCTCAATTCTGGAGCCACCAGAGGGTGTGGGTTTAACTGCTTTTCCGTAAGCCCCCATTCCCAGAGCGCCTCCCCGCCAAGAGCCTGATGAGCCCCTTTGCTGGGAGAGAGGGAGAGGAGGGTGTCTGTCACATGCTGAGAGGGGCAAAGGTCACAGGTGAGGAAAAGGGGAGGGCAGGGGGGCACACTAGGGCCAGCCCGAGGAGAGCCCCCCAGGCCAAGACAAGGCTGACCCCAGGACCGGGAGAGGGCGGGCAGGGGGCGGGCTGCGGGGTGGGGGCCGAGATGGAGGGCTGGGTTTATTTTATTGTATTTTGCCTCCAGTGCTGGGCCGGAGACACTCTTTCCCGGGGGAGACAAAAGGCCTGCTGTCCTGGCGTCCTGCCCCGCTGGGAGGGCGTTTCGCCCCCGGGACTCGTGTCCTGGGGCAGGGGCGTCTGGTCACTCGGGCAGGGGAGAGCGCAGAATTGCAGGACCTCTGATCACCACCCCCCCTTCTGACCCTTTAATTGGGACACCTCCCCCCTCTAAATTCTGAGCGGAGGAGCTCAGAATTGATGGGCTGAAGGTGGAACCCAGTCCTGACCCGCCTCCCTCCCAGATCCTGGGCACCCACTTGCTGTCAGCCTCAGGGCAGTGGACTGCCTGCTGGAAAGGGGTTCTGGGTTGTGGCCAGGGGGCCTGAAGAGGAAGAGGAGTTTAAACCTGGCTGGAGATGGGTGAGGGGAAGGGGAAGAGGAGGGAAGAAGAGATAGTCCCTAACATTTGGCACACTCAGTTTTCTAAGCACTCTGGGCTTTTCAGAGCTGCAGGAAGCTGGGCAAGAACTGGACACCGGGGCTGAGACATCATTTCACAGAGAAAGTCATAAACCCATTCCTTGAAGTCACCCTAGGCCAGTCCCCCATGTGCCCTACTGGCGGAAATTTCGGAGTGTGTGAGTGAGATGAAGGAGATGTGCAGTCAGCCGACTCTGACCCTGGGAGGCCAGAGAAAAGGCGAGAATCCAGAGGAGCCACCAACCGGAGGCAGACATTCCCAAGCAGCCGGGACGCCGAGAGGGGCGGCGGGCGACCAGGGGCCCGGGCACTCGGCCGATCTGGCCCATTCGTCAAAAGAAGACACTTGCACAAAGTTGCCCCCTCCCTCCCCTTCTGCGCCCTCCCCCAGCCCCCGCGCCTTGCTCCCTATGTGTTAACGGGCGGTTCAAATTCTCCCCCCAAAACGAGGTCGCCCCGGGGATTAGAAAAGAGAAAAAAATATATTCGTTGGCGATTTCTTTTCGTTATTGGTCCTCGGCTCCCTTCCGCCCTGGCCCCCTTCCCTCCTCATGAATAAAAGAAAAGTCCGAACCTATCAGATCTCGTTCGCTGCCTCCCCCTCTCCTCCTCGTACTCCCGTTGAGCACTTTTGCACAACTTACCCAGCGGATCACTCTCCCCCTTGCTTGCCCTCTTCTCTTCCCAACCCCGTCACCCCCTGTCGCCTCCCTTCAAGCCCCGAAACTCAGGAGCCACCGCCTTCCCGGTGGGGGGCGGGGTGTGAAAGCCGGTGCGAGAGGGAGTCGGGAGTGTGGTCTGGAGAAAGGCGTGGAGAGGAGTGCGGGGAGGGAGCGAGCGAGCGAGCGAGCGCGAGAATAAATATATAAATAAATACGAAAGAGAATCCACTCGGCAGCCTCTCGGCGCAGAAACTTTGGCCCGGAGCGCGGGAGCGCGCGGCTGCCAGTCGGACGCCACCCCCAGCCCCGCTCGGCAGCCCGGCCTCGCCTCCCGGTTCCGCCCGGCGCATCCGCCCGCACAACTTCTGGCCGAGCGGAGCGGGCAGAGGCGGACTTGGGGTTGCTGTGTTTGTTTGTTTGAACTTCCTTGTCACCACCTTCCCTCCCCCCAACCTCCGCCCCCACCTCGCCCCCCTCCCCAGCTTCTGGACGCGTTCGACTGCAGCCGGGGGTGGGGGGGTGGGGGTAGGGAGCGTGTGTAGAGGGGAGGAGGGGGAAGAGGTTAAAAAAAGAGAAGTGGAAGAAGAAGGAAAGAAAGAGATCGCAGCAGGGGTAAAGGGAGCGGACGGGAGGCGATTTTTGCCGACTCTGGATTCGTCCCCGGCGTGCGCAAGAATGGCGGCCCTTCCCGGCACCGTACCGAGGATGATGCGGCCGGCTCCCGGACAGAACTATCCCCGCACGGGGTTTCCTCTGGAAGGTAAGAGCGCCTGGGCTCGCCGCGCCTCCGCTCCTCCGCCCGGAACCCGAGGTCCTGGGAGAGGCAGCGATCCCCAGGGGGGTGGCGGCGCCAGCGGCAGCGGGAGGGGAGGAGGAGGGGTCCCCTTCTCTTCTGGGGACCGAGTCCGGGCGCCGGACCCCCGGAAGTTTCCAGGGGCCGACGCCTGTCCGTTTTTGCGCGGCTTTCAGTGACCGGCCGCCGCGGCTTCACAGGTCGCGGGCTCTGGCCTTCCCCCGCTCCCGGCCGCTTTCGGCCCCTAGTAAATTTCCAGTCCTAGCGAATTTCAGTTCGTTTCCACTATTTTCAGATGCTTTCCCCGCGGATACTTTCTCAGCTCTCTGCGTTCGCCGGCTACAGCGCTTTCTACTCTCGTTTCGAACTGTTCCTTTTTTCACTCCTCGTATGGTCCTCCAATCCCTTTTATTTCGAAATACCAGCGATGTGGGATAGTTTATATGTCTCAACTAGGAAGGCTATCCGCTTCTTCCAAAGCACCAGACCGAAACTCCTGCCTTTTGGTTTGGACACCAAGTAATTTGAAATAATAAATAGTAACGATTTTCCCCCCAAAACTTTTCACTTGGGCTTCGGAACTCTGCAACTCTCCTGGGAGAGACCCTCAGGACCGTGAGCGGCCCCGCGGTGTCCAGACGGGGAAAACGGGAATTCTCTAATGTGTCCTCGGTCAATACCCAGCACCGGGGTGAGCAGAGACGACCGGCAGGGGACGGGTTCCCGGCTGGAGGGAAGGATGGGAGCGCGCTGCCAAGACCCTTTCCTGCGTTTTTGTTTTGTTTTGTTTTTAAACTAGTGGAAGGCCTTCGACCTGTCAACCGAGGGATCACTGGGTTTCTGGGGGTGGGTAGCCCAGGGTGTCATACAGGAGTGGTGAGAGATAGGTGCCACTTTCATTTTTTAATTACTCTTCTTGTAATTGTCTGAGCCCCTTGTGCGTGAGGAAGGGGAAAGGAGGCGGGGAGGGGATGGACGGGCGGGCAGCCTGCGATCTAGGGAGGGAGGGGTCCCTCTGGCAGCGGGATGGCGCGGGTCCCTGAATTAGACAGAGGCGAAGAGAGTGGCTTCGTGATCAAGTGCGCGCGAGCAACCACGCAGGCGGGAGAGCGCGCAAGCCCGGGGATTTGCCGTAGCACTCTCCTGTAGCGAATGCAAGTAAAACAGGCGGCCGAGGACGCACGGCGGATTAGAACAATATTTGCCCAACATGACGGAGAATACTGAGGAGAGCCGAGCGCCGGTCGCTAAAGAGGCTCTTGAATATAAAGTTGGGCGCTCGAGAGCTCTCGAGCGCTAATGGCATATCCCGCCACGGAGACTGAGTGACTCTGACTTGGCGACGCACGATTTCTGATTAAATCCGAGGGTGGCTTCAGACACCTACTTTTACAAAGAGAGGTGGGGGGGCCGGGAGCGCGAGGGAGGAGGCGGCAGGAACCGCTCGGCAGCCGAGCCCCTTCTCGCCTCCTCCCTTCCAATTATACTGGCAGCTCCCTCCACTCCCGCGTCTGTGAAATCGTTCTAATCTGCCAGATCGCTGCAGCCGCCTGGTCCCCAAATTGGGGGGATGGAGGCCGGATTAGTGCACCGGGTGTCCCCCAACCTTCTGCGAGGAAATTGTGTAGACTTTGCATTAAGGCCTCTGAGGAGCTCTCCCCTCCGCAGCAATACAGCAGGGGTGTCTGTCTCCCTGGTTCCCAAAGTCACCCACACTGAGAGACTCTGGCCCCTCTGTGTACCACCCTCACAGAGCCTGCAGGGACAGATCTTGGATTTCTGAAGCCAAATAGGTATTTGATATGGGAGCTCGCTGACAGCGGAGCGTCTCCCCCAAATCGCCCCAAAACGAAATGAGAACTTTGAGAGGGGTTGGAAGCAAGGAGAGTCCCTCAAGGGACAGCCAGGTGACCCCAGAGGCAGCGACCAACAGCTTCGTGTCACCAGTCCCTCGGCTGTTCAATTATAAGTAGGACAGATCTGCTGCCCAGGCCAGGGCTGTAAATACTGGTAATTAACCAGCCTCCTCTGGCTCCCCCCAAAATGGATCAGTCTTGACCACTTAGGGCATGGAACTGAGCAGAGAGAGGGGCCACATCTCGCCTGCAATTGGCCTCCCGAAGAGACAGGCAGACCTGCGGCCCAAACTGCATCCTGGGGGACCGAGCCCCTGGTCCCACAGACTCCGGAGACGAGACTCCATCAGCCTCTTGGCTCTGCCCTCCCCCTCCCCGTTCTCAGAAGCATCAGATCCCTCTCCAGTGTGTCCTCATTCCCCATAGTGTGGCAGGAGTGGGGGCACACGGCATCTGGGGGACTGTAGCAGCCAGCTGTGACTTTTCTCTCCATCCTTCCAGGACCCTCTCTCAGCTTTCTGACAGTTTTTTCCTGACCTCTGAACTGCCGCACCTCCAAATGTGGGGAACTCACAGTCCCTCTGTCAGGGCTCTTGGGGCTCCAACAAAACTGGAGTCAAGGGGTGTGCTCGCTGTCTCCTCCCCATCCTCACCCTGTGCCTCTCTCCTTCCTGGTCTCCCCTCCCTCCTCCAGTGTCCACACCACTTGGCCAAGGCCGGGTCAATCAGCTTGGTGGGGTCTTCATCAACGGGCGACCCCTGCCTAACCACATCCGCCACAAGATCGTGGAGATGGCCCACCATGGCATCCGGCCCTGTGTCATCTCCCGTCAGCTGCGTGTGTCCCACGGCTGCGTCTCCAAGATTCTCTGCCGCTACCAGGAGACTGGGTCCATCCGGCCTGGGGCCATCGGCGGCAGCAAGCCCAGAGTGAGTGTCTTTGCTGCAGAGCTGGCAGCCGGCCTTCCCATGGTTGGGGGATCCTGGTTGTGGCCCCTCTCACTACCTTGTGTCATCCAACACCACTGGGGTGTCCAAATGCTTCCTATGGAAAGTACAGGAAGAGGGTGTCCTCACCCCCAGATGTCCCTCTCATTATTTGGATTTCTAGGGGATAAGATAACTGAGGTTCTAGGTTGCCCAGGACTTTGAGGCCAATGAGTCATCCCTGGGCTGCCCCTACATCTGCCCCAACCCCCAGCATCATCCCAGACTAAGGGAGATCTCCCCCCTCAGTCTTGCCTGAAATAGTGAGTGGGGCGGTGGCGGGGGGGGGGGATCCCAAGAGTCCTAATTAGGTTCTATCTTATTACCTATGACTACCCTATGCACCTGGCTGCCTTCCTTGGAGCCAGGCACAGGTTTTGTGAAAGGGTAAAGCCAATCTCAGAAGGGGGGAAGGGGGAGGGACATGGGAACCAGAGCCACCAGCCTGGCCTGGGGCTCTTGGGAGTTTGATATTAAAAGTGTCTCCCTCCCCCAACCCCATCTTTCCACTCCTGCTCTCCCACCTCCACCTCTGAAGCAGGTGGCGACTCCGGATGTGGAGAAAAAGATCGAGGAGTACAAGAGGGAAAACCCAGGCATGTTCAGCTGGGAGATCCGAGACAGGCTGCTGAAGGACGGACACTGTGACCGCAGCACCGTGCCCTCAGGTGAGAAGGCAGCTGAGCCGGCCAAGCACAGTCTGGCCGGGTGCCGGCTGAACGGGGCTGAAGGCTGGACAGGACAGGACGGAAGGTGATGAATGATGGGGAGCTCCAAGGAGAGTTGTGAGGAAAGGGAGCAGGAATGAAGAGTTAGGGCAAAGGAGGGAATCAAAACCGAAAGGAAGATGGACGGACAGAAGGAGCAAAGAAAAGAGAGAAAATTAGGAAAGAGAGAGAGGAGAAAGAAGAAAGAGAGGAGGAAGGAGGGAAGGAAGGAGGGACAGAAGGAGGCACAAAAGGAGCAAAAAGTTATCCTGTAAGGCTGGGTGATAACAGGAGCTCCCTTGAGGCTTGCTTTCTCAGAGAAGTGGCCTAGAGAGATGGGTCCGTCCTAGGAGGGTTGATCTCCATGGGCTCCCTGGACCCCTTTCCCCAAGTCACTCTTTCTGTTCTGTCAGTGACACCAGCCAGCAGTGCCTCCCAAATATGGAGGCCTCCACCCGCAGCGAGGGGACACACACCTGGGTGTAGAGGTGGCAGCCACAGCGGCTGGAGGGCCTCTGGCAAGGTCCTGGGGAAGTGGGTGTGGGTGTGAATGCATCTAGGGGATGTGACCGTGTCAGGCACAAGTGTGTGCAAGGAGGAGTATAGGAATGCCACCGTGAGAGTGTCCCAGGGGAGTCAGCTTCCCTAGCCAGCGACTGTACTTGGATGTAAACGCTTAAATGGGGGGGGGGGTTGTCAGTGGGTGTGAACCCCCTTGCAGTGTGTTGCAGGACGGACTGCGTCGCTTTCTCCTGGGGGCCCAGGTCGCCCGGCTCCAATGCCCCAACAACTTATACTTGCTCTTTTGCCTTTGAATTTCTGAGGTTTAGTGAGTTCGATTAGCCGCGTGCTCAGAATCAAGTTCGGGAAGAAAGAGGAGGAGGATGAAGCGGACAAGAAGGAGGACGACGGCGAGAAGAAAGCCAAGCACAGCATCGACGGCATCCTGGGCGACAAAGGTAGGGAACCTCCGAGGGGGTGCCTCCACCGCCGAACCCCGCATCCCCACGTGCGAGGGTGCGGGCCAGTGGTTGGCTTCCGCCGCCCAAGGCTAGCGACAGCACTTTAGCGGGCGGACTCGCAGCCCCGGGGGGAGCCGGGAGTCCCTCGGGGTTTGCGGAGGGCGCCCCCTCAGTGCGCCCCGGACTAGGGCAGAGCGCGGAGCCCGGGGGCAGACGGCCTTGGCGTCCCCGGGGAGCCGGCTGCAGGTTGGTGCACTGCGCGCCGCTGAGCGCAAGACCCCGCGCGCAAGGCCTGGCCGGGCACTCCGGGGCGTGCGCCCTGCGGGGCCCGCGTTTTGGCGGCTAGTCCCAGTCCCGGTGTGGATCTATTATTTATAGGACGCTTGAACAAGGGGGCGGGGGGCGAGGAAGGAGGAGCCGGCCTGCGGCTCCCTAAATGAATTTGTTAACCAGACCCGCACACGCTCTCTAAACGGTCCCTTGAAACCCTGCCTGACAGTTGACTGACCGCTGCAATCAATAAAAATTAGCGAGGCCCGCCGCCTAACCCTCAGCCCCTTGTTGCCAGGGCCCGAACCGAGAGCGTGGCGGGTGGGTGCAGATGGGTGCACCAGTCAGACGCTTGTCTCTGGCGGGGCCAGGTGTTGAGACCAAGTTCCCCAACGCCCAGGATCGGAGGATCTCAGGCGGGGAGAAAGCTTCCGACTGCACCCACCCTCTCCCCCCTTGCATCACCGCTGCCCCGCCGGCTGGAGTCTGAGCCTTGCGCCCGGCTTTTTCTCCGGTCTGCTGGGGAAGGCGTTTATCTTTCAAGCGCCTGCACACCCGGGGAAGGGGAGTGTGCTTGTATTTATTGGCAGGGGAAGTTTCGGGAGAAGGGAAAGTCTTCCTCATTATCTCCTCCCCTTGAAGTTCTCTTTGAGACTTGGTAAGCGTGCCTTAAGTGAGGGAGGGAGGGTGAGAAACAGAAATAGAAGGCCCAGAGTCACAAAGACTGGCTGGGGAAAAGAAGCAAGCTCACAAACGGGCATGCCGGGAGGCAGCCAGCAGACAGGAAAGACAGTGGTCACGCAAACCTGCAAAGCGGTCGCTTTGGAAAAAGTGGGGGAGTTCCCCAAACCTGGAAACTTGTAAAGAGCACATTTGGCTTGAATTTCTTTCCAGAGGTGTCTCAGGGTACCCCTCTCCTTGCCTCCCGTGAACTCCTCTCCCAGGTCTCTCTCTCCAGTTGTCAGTAGTCTCTCCCAACCTTGAAGATGAACTTCACAGACAAAGCCCGCTTCCAAAGACAACACCCAGGAAGGCCCAGCCCCCACAGGCCTGGTTGAGGGGGAAGGTGGGAGGAGGGGCAGGGGCAGCCCCTTTGAGAGAGCAGCCTAGAGCTGGGGAAGGGGCGGGCTACTGACATTCGGGGCCCCAAGTGGAGCCCTGTCCCGCCAGGGACAAAAGGGCGAGGGATGAAAGCAAGCGAGCTGTGCCTGGCACCCCGCTGTGCCGGGCCGGCCTCGGAGCCTCGGGTCTGCAGTGAGAAGTGCCCCTGTGCTGCTGAGGAGCCCCAGGCTTGGCGGAGGCAGCCCAGAGCCCTGGGACTCCTGCGGGGGGACCCACTCTGACTTCAGTTTGTATCCGAAAGGGACTTGGTTGGACTTCTTTTTTGTGGGGTAGGGCACATTGAACTTGAAATGATCTTTCCTGGAGAAATACCACACAGCAGACACCGTTTCTGAGAAGTACCGGGGAGAGGCAGAAGGAGGTTTGGTTTTATTTGGAGAGACTTTACGGTGTGTGTGTGTGTGTGTGCGTGTGCGTGTGCGTGCGTGTGCGTGTGTGTGCGTGTGTGTGTGTGGCGGGGGTTTGTCCAGCTCAGTCTGCGAGGAAGCAAAAGTCTTTTCTGAGAAAGAAGGAAAGGAGAGGAAAGGGATAGAAAGCCTGTGCTTTGGGGATCCCTTTGGCTCCAGGAAGTTCGGGTGCTTCTGGCGCAGGTTAGGGCTTACAAAACTGGCTCACAGGCAGCTTCGCTGGAGAGAGGATTTCCCTGCAGCAGAACCAGGAAGCTCCAAATCTCCAAGGGTTTAGGAGGAGCCTGGAGGTTCCAGATGGGGAGGCAGAGAGCACAGGAGCTGAGGCTGGAGAGGAGCTGCAGAAACGAAACGGAATCCGTGGGTCTGGTATCCAGAGAGCCTGGCAGGTTTTGAGTGACAGTGGGCACGTCGGGCGCTGGGACCGTGAGCTGGAATGGACTCTCTGGGTGGCTGTTTGTCCGTGGGCCTTTGGATCATTGTGCCGTGGGTCGTATTCTGTGCAAGTGGGGTTCTGCGTGGAAGTGCAGGGTGACTGTACGTGGGTGGGAATGGGCAGAATGACAGTGGGGATGAGGGAGGGTTGTCTGTCCCTCTGGGGACAAAACATATCGGCCCCCTGAGTACCTGGGTCAGTAGGCAGGCATCCCAGTGAACCACCCAGCTGGAACCTCTCCTCTCTCTCCCAGGCCCCAGCCATCAGTTTCATGGCCAAGTTAAAAGTGAAAAGACCTCCTAACCTCCACCCAAGTCGACCAGGTGGGGAGAGGCAGAGATGCCTCAAAGGGCAGAGCAGGGGGAGGGGTGCACACCCATAAACTTTGTTTTGGTTTCTTGCTCTTGACAAATGCTTTCTCCGGGGGTTGCCCCTCTCATGGCGGGGAGCCTTCCAAGAAGGGGTTTAAGAGCTCTCCTCTTTAAGCGCTAAAGAGAGATCCCTCCCTGAGTCCGTTTTTCCCTATCGTCCGCTTGGCATTTAATAATGTTAAGACTTATTAGAGCTGGTAATGAAAACTGGGGCTGCTGAATAGGAAACTGTGTTGCAGAAGGGTGTTATAGCTCCCAGGCATGGTAAGAAACTATTTATCCGCAATCAGTCCTCACTCTCAGAGTTTGAAGCACAAACGTTAAGTTGAAGGGTTTTAAAGCAGATTAAATTGAGCTTTTATTTCTGTGCACTTTCATCTCTGAACAGCTCACTCCTGCTCCCCTTGGGCTGATATTCATGAGGCTGTTCATATATTTTTTTTTTTTTTGCTCTTATCCTTGTTAAGACTGAGTTATTAGGATTGTTGGTTGTGAGAATTTCAGACCACAGCGGATAGGGGCTCCAGCCATGCTCTGCTCACCTGGAGAGGGAAATGGACAGTTCCTTGCCCTCATCCACTTGGACTCTCTTCTCCTCACCCCTTCTCAGAGAATCAGGGGAGACAGACCAGAGACCCAACCGGGAAAGGATTTGAGGACGGATGGGAAAGAAAAAGATTTTCCTAGCTTGAGCCCAGGGAGACTCTGGTGGGGAATTTGATAGGGGTTTGCAAAAAGTCAAGCCATTTCTCTGCGGGAGCTAAGGGAGTCAGTGTGAAGAAATAACAATAATTTTAAAAAGGCAATAACAACAGCAATAAACAATAAGAACACCAAAGCCTCATGCATCTGACAATGTACAAACTTAGGCTGAAACTGACCAGATCAGACATGGGGCTCCACCTGGGTCTCTAGGGTACAACGCCCAGAGAGGTCACAATTAATATGAAATAAGGGGGGGGGGGTCACAAGATTTAAAAGAAGAAGAGCGTGCATTTCCTCTATGGGGAGAAGTGCCATTGTCAAAGTCCATCCAAGAATTTGCCGACTTCCCGGGTATGAAAGACCATCTGGGGTGGGGGCCGAAGGTGGTGTGTGTGAGGCAGATCTGTGTTTCTGTGCATTTTTCCTTAATTTATTTTTAAAGCAGCAAACTTACAGGTGTGGAGTGGGAGATGACCGAGAAGGCTCGGAAAGGAGGGGAGAGCCCGAAGTGTCGGTTTTAGACACTTGTAAAAGGAGGTGGGAAACAATTTAATTTGGCAGCGCCGCTAGCTGCTAATGCGGTTTTCGGTCGTTTGCTACACTGGAGGAAGCTGTTTTGATTGTGTGTACAAGGACCTGCCAAATTTAATTAGGCTCCGGGGGAGCGCATGAATAGGGGAAGGGGGGCACAGCTCCCCTCAGCCCACACCGTTTTTTTTTTTTCCCCGGTTTCACACCTGGAAGGGGCATTGTTTACCGGATAGGCGAGATCGGCAGAGGGAAGGGGAGGAGGCGTAGAGGGAGAGGGGCCTGGGAAGAGGGAGCGAGGGAGGGGACGGAGATAGTCCATTTATCAAGAAACAATCTGCATTGATTTAAACCAACAAGTTCCCTCCTCTGTAAATGTGTGTTTAGAGAAAGGTAATTGACACTCCACCAAATCAAAGGATTACCCCGGGTTGGCAATCTAATCAAACAGAGTCCAGGCGGGATTTGAGGCTGTTCAGAGTGGGATCAGCTTCGCATAATGGGGGCTCGGAGGAAGATGGGAGGGTGTCAGGCAATTCCCCGGCTTTAGGCTGCGCTCAGTGGTGGATATTCAGTGAGACCAGAGGGAGAGAGGGAGGGGGGACGAGGGCTCTGCCGCGCCCGGGCAGTGGGGGGATGGGGTGAGCAGAGAGGGGGCGAGCCCACACTGGGCCGACAAGACTCCCCCTTTCTTCCCTCCATCCCCCCAACCGAAGAAGAGAGAGGGGAAGGAGGGAGCTGAGACTAACGAAGAACAACAATGAGATAAGTATTACAAAGGCAAACACTGGCGCTCGCTCGCTCACTCGCTCGCAGCCCCGGAACCCGCGGTAAATAAACAAAATCGGCAAACTGTTTGCCAGATAAACTCGTGCCTAAATCGAGTGTGACGGGCAAGGAGAGTAGAGACAGAAGGAGATAAGGTTGGAGGGGGAATGAACAAACATAATCTAATAGAAGACATTTAGCAAACAAACTTGAAACAAGGGAGAACAGGCGAGCGGAGGGTAATTATCCGCCCCAGAGATCGAGGGAAGCCTTTGGAGGGCTGGGGGTGCGGTGGGGGGGGCAGGAGCCGCAGAAGAGATGCGTGTTGGGGGGGTGCCTTTGGGACTCCACGGGGAACTGGGAGAGGGTCCCCAGGACCTGCAGGGGAAG